AACTATTGATTTGATAACTAATTGATGAGTGGGTAACTAACTTTTAACTTTGTGAAAATCCTTATCTTCTTGTCTGAACAAAAATTCATTGCTAACATCAGAATTGAAACCAATTGTTCATGAAATTTCTAGAAAATTATCTTATCTTTCCAGGAAAAAAAATTGAGGTCATTTAGACTTCTAGAACTCGAGATATAAGTTGAACACTGAATAGTGTCTGGGCTGTAGAACAGATTCAGACTTTTTCGTTATTGCTGCAATTTGGATTTGAAAATGGCCTTTTTGAAACCAAACCTCCACATGAAAGTTGTACACATATGTCTTACCTTTCCATCCATATAAAGTAGACCTAAATTTGAGATCTAAAACTCCAGATATAGCCCAATTACCGAACAGTGTTCCGGTTTGGACTGCACCAGTATCTCTTTTCTAAGTTTAGCCATCTTTTTGTCCTTTTAATTTAAGTACTTAAACTCATCGATCAATCCTTTTATTTATATGATAGGCTTGCATTTAAGATGAACATTTACCCCAAATTAAAGGTATCTTATGTTATTAGATATGTTATTATAAAACATCTTTTAGCTAAAGGAGTTATTGATACTTTAAGTGTAAAATGATGATATAAAACCTTGATAAAAATACACTTTTAAATACTAATCAAATCCCCTTCTTCTCACCTTTTTAAAACCCTAACCCTTAATTTATCCCAAAAAAACCCACCGTAGTACTTAATTTTCCCTTTTAATTTCTCATCTAACCCTTTAATACTCTAATTTCTCTCTTTTTCGAATGAATTTAACAAGAATTTGAAAGAAGAAATAAAAAAAATTCCCCCCTCTCTGGCCTCTCTTTCTCTCTTCTTTTTCAATTACAATGAATGAAATGTGACACAAATAAAGTGTCACCACCAAAGTATAAAATTTAAAAATTATAAGCATCAAAATATAAAAAGATGCGTCATGAGTAATGCAAATAAATTTAATAAATAATGTTACATGAGTCAACAATGTTTTTAGGTATACAGTAAAAAAGAATTGTTTTAGTTTTTTTCTTTTAATTTTTAATATTAATGTTAATTAGCTACATATATAAATAAAAACTAATATATTGACCTGCCCTCAATAATGATTTTTTTTCAAATGTTAAAAAAATATTAAAAATATAGAGAATGTTTTAATCCCATTAGATCTAGCAGTAATGTCAGACTCAAGACACTTGAATCTAGTAGTCGTGCTAGGCCTAAGCGACTTGATTCTGATAAAAAAGCTTAATTAATTTTTTTATAATTTTTTTCTTAAAAAACATTTAACATATTTTTAAAGTATCCTAAATAAAATTTTTAATTAATTTTTTATAATTTTTTTATTTGTTATAAAAAATATTTAAACTATCTTTGAAATATCTTAAACAGAAATCCTAATTAATTTTTTTTTTACTTTTTATAAAAAATATTTAAATTATTCTTAAAGTATCCTAAATAATTTTTTTATAAAAAAAATTTAAACTACCCTTTAAGTATCCTAAATAAAAATACTAATTAATGTTTTTTATAATTTTTTTATTTAAAAAAATTTTAAGCTATCATTCAAGTATCCTAAATAATTTTTTTTATAAATTGTTTCTATTTTTTATAAGAAAAAAAAATTTAAACTACCATTGGAGTATCCTAAATGATTAGTTTTATAAATTGTTTCTATATATATATATATATATATAAACACATTTAAACCACCCTTAAATATCTAAATAGAAATGCTACTTAAGTTTTCAATAAAGTTTTATTATTTTTTATAAAAAAAAATTATATTATCCTTAAAGTATTCTAAATAAGTTTTTTAAAAATGCTTTCTATTTTTTATATAAAAAATATTTAAACTACATTTGAAGTATCCTAAACAAAAATGTTAATTAATTTTTTTATTTCTTATAAAAAAACATTTAAATTATCCTTGAAGTATTCTAAATAATTCTTTTATAAAGTTTTTTAATTTTTTATTAAAAAACATTTAAACTATTTTTGAAATATTATAAAATATAGAAAAATTTATAAAAAAAAATATTTAGAATGCTTCAAGGATAGTTTATTTTTTTATAAAAAATAAAAATAATTGCAAAAAAAAATAATTAATATTCCTGTTTAGGTAGTTTAAATTTTTTATATTTTAAAAATGAAAAAAAATATAAAACAAAATTATTTAGGTTAAATTATCCTTGAAGTATCTTGAGCATAAATCCTAATTAATTGTTTTAATATTTTTTATATAAAAAAGTTAAATTATCCTTGAAATATCCTAAACAAAAATTTAAATTATTTTTTTAATTTTTTATAAGTTTTTAGGTCTAGTAGCATACCCAATAGACGTTGACTGCTAGATCCAAAAGCCCTGGGTCTGGTGGTCATGCCAGACCCGAGGATTTTGGATCTGATAATTTTACCAGACTCAAGTAACTTGGGTCTGGTAGTCATGCCAGCTAAAGCGCCTAGACCTACTAAACAGCACACATGGTTGCCAAACTTAATGTGCTTAAGTCCGGCAAGGCGGCAACTCATGCAAGACCCAAACAAATAATAAATAAAAGATAGGACAATAATGTATTTAGTTACCAAAAGAAAGAGAAAAGAAAGAAAATGCTCAAAAAATCAATCATTGGTGATGATCTAAGTATGATAAGTCTACATGCATCGTCTCATATGAAAGAATATATTGTTACGCATCTAATGATATGACAGAGGTGCATTTTTTGCCACAAAAAAACATTTCACGTGCTTTTTTAATGGCGCAGGTGCCACCGACTCATTAAAACATATGAAACACGCTTCAATAATTTTTAATTAAAAAATACAGAATACAATATGAAAATACTTAAATATCCTCGTGTTCTTCTTAGTTATACAAAATATTCATATAAAAATATTAAAATATCTTCAAAAACAAATTTTTTTTTTTGTTTTTTCTGAAACTAAAATCATTGTTTGCTTTTACTTTGAAATCGGGAAAACTTGATTGTGCTCGTGAAAAAAATTAAAAAAGTATTTATAAAGATAAAAAAATAAAAATAACAGTAAGATGATAATCTATAATAAAATATTTCTTAATGTGCAATAATTACCTCCGCCATCTAACTATTGTTATAATAATAATAATAATAAAGAAAAGGTACTGAAATGTTGAAAAACAGTTTATAAAAGTACAATGCGACGCAGGAAATCATAGTGGAGCCAACGAACAAAAGGGCAACAGTTAGTGCGAGCCAGGTACCTGCAAGAGATAAGAACCACCTGCATTTTTGCAAATTTATCTCTGCCTTTTCCCACTTGTACACTCAGATGCTTTCCTTTTTCTTTTAAAAAACAATTTAATTCCATTTTGATGCCCAGCAACCAGCGAAGGGCGCCTTTCCTCCTCCGTCCCATCTGCCGAAAATTACGTGTACCTTTTACGTCATGTTTGGACGTGTGTTATTTATCCAAAAAATAATAAATTAAAATTTTTAAATATTTGAAAAAAATTGTTTTTTTTCTTTATAATATATTTTAAATAAAAAATAATTTTTAAAAATACCTTCTACCACCAAAACTTAGTGAAGCCTTTGTTTTTATATTTTTAAAATACTTTAATTTTTTATTTTTTATTTTAAATTAATATATTTATGATATTTTTAGATTATCTTAATGTACTGTGTTAAAAATAATTTTATATAAATAAAATAATAATTATTTATATATATTAAAAAAAAATTATAAAAAATCAAACACCACCTTGCTTTACACGCATTCATCCTCGTCTCCGTCCTTTTAAAATCTTCCCCTCCCCTCCGTCCTCTATCCTCTCATAAACATAATGACCATTCATTAACAATCTCTGTAGTGCTCTCTATCTATCATTTGCTTTTTTTCTTCGACACATGAGAGAAGGAGCTGCTGCATCGCATTCATTCAGGGACTAGTGTGTGCTCGTATTGTTCTATATATGACGAGTCAGGATTTCTCTCCTCCCCACGTGGACGCATCTCGTCCATCCCTCGGATTTCCTCTTGGCGCTGCCTTACTCTTGATAATCATTCTCGGCTTGAGTGGTGTTTTTTCTTGCTGCTATCACTGGGATAAACTAAGATCATTCCGCCGGCGCCGGTCTTCCTCTGAACACCCGGATCCAGGGGCCTATATCGAAACATCACCCTCTAAATCTAAGCTATTCCAAATGGTATCCGAATTCTGTCTCTTCCTTACAAATTACCTAAGCTATTGATGATTGTCTCCTCTCGCGTTACTCACTACCCTTTTTAATCTTTCCTTTATCTTTCTTACTGTTAAGGATTCGAAGCGATACCAGAACCAAGGGATGCCTGTAGTGATGCCTGGAGACGATGTTCCGAAGTTCATAGCGTTACCATGTCCATGTGAGCCCCCACGAGGCTCCGAGAGAGCTGCTATTGAAGTGCAAAAGCCACCCAAGGCGCCGCCGCGGCTACTGCTGCTTGTGTAGTTGTTTGGCATTGAGGCTGTGGCTGAGGTTCACACTCAACCACAGATATTAAATATTAACGTTTGGTTAAGTTAAAAACTGAGTTTTGTTTTGATGGGACCCACTGAAATTGCTGGTGCGACCACAGTTTAACAAAAGTAGAATTTACATGCTTCTGCATCTGTGGATTAGCTGCTCAACTGTTCACGTGAACGGTTGAGAGGTGGAGAGGGGATTATAACAGAAGAAAAAAAATACACCTGCAGTTATTATTAGCTTAACATAATAAAGGAAATAATTAGAAGTAGTATCGCTGTAGTATGAGCCGGAAGCAGCATGAACTAAGGGAAACAAAGCTTGCCTTTGTGTTATTGTACTGGGTTTTTGTTTTAAAAGCCAGACTAATAAAGAAAAGCTCTTTTCTAATTGCTGCTCTACTTCTAACTATGAACGATACTGAAGTCGGAGTTTTTGAGAAACAGGGAGGTGCAGACTTCGCAGTACAGGAAAAACTAGAGAGAAAGACCTGCTTCTCTTCTGCTTCCTAAAACAACGTGATACTAGAACAGAGTAAAGCCAAGCTGCAAGAACAGGATAGCAACAACGAGTCCTGTGGAGGTGCTCAGTTGCAGAAGAGCCACTGTCACAGGCTGAATTAATGCCATGAAAGAGTTCACTGGAAAGGTCTAATGGCTAACGAACAGTGTATAATAAATTAATTCATTGTTTACGTGCACTGTTTATGTAAACAGTTAAAATATCTAATTTTTTACTTTGCACTGCTAACATGTACTGTTTATATAAATAATTTTTAATTGTACATGTACAGTTTATATAAATAATTTATGTACTGTTTATATAAATAATTTTTAATTGTAGTTTATCCAAAACTAAATAATAACGATATATAAATTAAAAAATATTATAATAATATAATATTTACATAATTTAATTAAATTTTTAATTTTATTTTTAATAATATTTTACTAAATTTTATTACATGTTCAAAAAATTATGAATATTATAATTCTTATCAAATAAGTTTTATACATAATAAAATTATAGATAATTTAATGAAACAATAAAAAAATTTATATAATATATTATTTATTTTATGATGTAATAATAATAATTAAATTTATAATATTTAAATTAAAAATCATTAATATTAATTTTTTTTATAACCTTAATTTAAAAAATATTTTTAACTAAATATATAAATTATTTTTTGTTTAACCTCAATTTCAATTATAATTTTAATTATATATATATATATAAATATTAATGCAATTTTAATTAAAAATATTTTTTATTAAATATTTTTTAAATTATAATCACAATTGCTGTCGTGATATCAAATATATTTTAAAAATTACATATAAAAAAAGAAAAAAAAATTAGTTCGTCAAATATATATAAATATCAATGTAACTTTAATTAAAAATATTTTTTATTAAATATTTTTTAAATTATAACCGTGATATCAAATATGTTTTAAAAATTAACTGTTTTATGAAGATACATATAAAAAAATAAAAAAAAATTAATTCATGATGATTAATTATCGTGTTTTTATAAATACTTAAAAGAGCTGGATAGTGTTTAATCAATTTTAAAATTAAAAAAAAATTAATAAATAATATAGCTATCAATACAGCTAGACAACACGACATAGACTCTTACAAGAATAATAATAATAATGTTTGATGATTAATTATCGTGTTTTTATAAATATTTAAAATAGCTGGATAGTGTTTAATCGATTTTAAAATTAAAAAAAATTAATAAATAACATAACAATCAATATAGTTAGACAACACGACATGTGTCATCTCTTATAAGGATTTTCAGTCATATTAAATATTAAAATTTGGATTTCTTGTCCTCATAATACAAATCTTATCTATTTTCATCCAAAAACAAATCATGAAAAATTTTATAAAATCATTTTTAATCTTACAGCTAGACAACACGACATATGTCATCTCTTATAAGGATTTTCAGTCATATTAAATATTAAAATTTGAATTTCTTGTCCTCATAATACAAATTTTATCTATTTTCATCCAAAAAAAAATCATAAAATTTTTTATAAAATCATTTTTAATCTCAAAATACATTCTAATTAATTTTAAATTTCAAATTAAATCAAATCAAAATAGACTTTCTAAATTCTAATCTAATTTTTCTAACATGATTCAAAACAAACATAGTGATACTGAGATTATTTTTTCTTGTGGCTAGAATGTCATGTAATAACCTATTTTTATGTAATTCTATGATAATTAATATACATATTATAATGATTTAAACTAGTAGAGAAAAAATATATCTTATAAGTTAAAACTTCCTTTATTTATCTATATCTTTAATATTTTTTCAAAAACATGAAAATATGTATATTTTTATTAACAATACGGTTCTTAAAAATAATTATAATGACTTGAAAAACAAGTTTCAATTAAAAAAAATTATGTCTTGATAAATTTTTACGTGACTGTGTACAAAAATAAATCAATAATTAATTTGAGAAATAATTATATAAGAAAATCTACAATAAAAATATATAAAATATATATTTTATTTTTATTGAATATTTATTAGAAATATATTTAAAAATAATATTAGGTTTATATATAATTATTTATAAAGTAATTGTTAATATTATCATAAAAAGTTTTAATCTTATTTAAAAAGTATTACGGCTTTAATCTTATTTTATTTAATCTTTAACTGATTTTTTTAAATATCATTGTAATTATTTTATTTTAAAAAATTTATTTTAACATAACATAATAATTAAATAAGAAAGAAAAAAGAAAAAAAAAAGGGTGAAGAGCCAAGAAAATCATGCTTGGGCATTTTATGGCTTGAAAAGGCAGTTCAGCTCGTCTCTGTTTAGAGGGTTAGGCTCGCAGGCGTGACCTTTAAAAATAAAAAGCCTATATGCTCCTGATTTGAGGAGGCTATGCTTGTGCATCTTATCAAAATAAATAAATAAATAAAAATAATAAAAAAATCACAATGCACAACACGTCACATACGCTTGGTAGATGCTGTGTCATCTCTTACAAGAATCTTCAGCCGTCTCTCATGGATGAAAAATTAATTCTAGATTTCTTGGCCCTATAACTTTTCACCTTAAAATATAAATAAATCATTGGAACCTTCAAAAATTCGTATTAAACCTCAAAACAAACTCTAATTAATTTAAAATTTAAAATCAAATCAAAACAAGTTTTCTAGATTCTATATTATCTTTCTAATATAATTTAGAACCCAAAACATTTTTATTGATTCTTCAAAACAAATCTAATGACATTATAATTAATAGTTTTGTGGCTAGAATAACATGAGTAATCTTCAAAATCTATTTTTATTTAATTCTTTGATAATAAAAATAATTATTCATAAAAATAATCATGATTTATATCACGATAAAAAAAAACTCTTTAGTTAAAACTTCATTTTTCTATTTATGTCTATCTTTAATATTTTTTCAAAAAACATGTAGTTCTTATTAACAACATGTTTTTGTTTTAAAAAAAATTATCTTGATTTAAAAAGTAAGTTTGAATAAAAAAATAAAATCATGTTTTGATAATTTTTATGTGATTGTATACGAAAATAAATCAATAATTAATTTGAGAAACAGTTATATAAAATATTTACGGTAAAAAAATAGATATTGTACCCTTATTGAATATTTATTAAAACTATATATATTTTTTAAAACATATTAGGTTTATATATAATTATTTGTAAAGTAATTGTTAATATTATTGTAAAAAGTTTAATTCTTATTTGAAAAGTATGGCATCATTAAGTGATTTTTTAAGTATAATTATTTTATTTAAAGAGATTTTTTTAAAAATACAAAATAATTAAATAAGAAAAAAAAAAAACTCAACGGGCCAAGAAAATCAAACTTGGCGTTCTATGGCTTGAAAAGGCAGTATAGGAGCGCCTAGGCTTCAAAGGCCAAGCTCATATGCCTGGTCTTTAAAAATAAAAAGCTTAAATGCTCATGATTTTGGAAAGCTAGGCGGTGCAACTTGTTAAAATTTTTAATAAGATGATTTAAATATTTTATTTAAAAATTATTTAAATTTCGAATATATTATTTTTATTTTAATTCAACAAATATATGAATGTTTTTATTTTTCTTAAATTAAAATAGCGTGGAGGTACCCAGGTGGGTCCTTACACACCACTAGAGATTTTGGGTAGGAACCCGTAAAACAAAACTTAGCCCAGGTCCATATTATCATCTAATAACCAGGTCCGAAAGCGTTCGAACAGCTTTTGTCGATGCTTCAGAGTTGAGAAAGATCGGGAGTTATGTTTTTCTAGGTTTCTGTCTCAGTCCCAGTTGAGAGTCCCTGAGAGTTGAGAAAGATATCCTTTTTCAACAGACTAGTTTCTTTAATTCAAGGGCCATGGATGGATGCCGGTAGCTGATATATTATTGGGATTTCACCTCTCCTCTGCTTGCTTACGGCAGTAGAAACCCATGGTAGGTTAGTCTTGACTTTATTTATTATTTATTTGTTGTCAATGTCTGTTCCCATGATCTGGTTTTACATCATTTCTCTAATGTGACCTATAGTGCTAGGGAATTTAGTCTAAGTAGGTTCTAAAAAATGGATTGCAATGTGCCACTAATTAGCATCAAGTGGGGAGGTTTGAAACAAGGTAAAGGAATCAGTAGCTATGTTTTTGTTGTATGAACTAGTTTTATGCTTGGCATTTTTTTTTCTCGTATGATCTTTTCTTTTTGCGGGCACACAGCTAAAAATGTTTGAAGATATGGGTTTGTTCTGAAACTCTTCCATCCATTTTTACATGAATGTTTTCGAACAAAACAAGTATTTTCCATAATTGCCAAAATTGAATTCGACTATTTTTTTTTAATGTCCAAGACAATTTAGGGACGTGAATATTCAGCTCCAATTCCCATCCCTTTCTCTGCAAATTTTCTTTTGTTCCTTGCAAGAAAACCATTATTCTTTGAGACTAATCAAAGTATGCCAAAAAAATTTTCTTGTACCCTCTTTTATCACATGGGAGTATTACTGTTGCAATTTGCTTATTATTGGTGGAATGTGCTGGTGAAATTGGTTGACTGTGTTACTAATTTAAGCTCCTTTGAGCAAAGTTTATTTGAATCTGACACGCAAACTTGGGAGAAAATTGAGAAACTGAGAATGGATAAAGAAATTGAACATTTCTGGAGTTTCATCTCCATCATTAGATTTTTGGCCTTTAATGCTGACAATGTTCTCTTTAGTGATACCAATTCCACGGGCCAAGTGTCTGGCTGAGAATGTTTTACTTTTAACTCACTGGCATGACATGATGATTGTAAGTGATTTTTTTTTCTCTACAGAAAATAAGTTATTCTCATTGAAATTTGGCATTGGTTCTCCAAAGAAAAGAACCTTTTTTTTTAGCCTGATGGAATTAAGATGCTTGTGTACTCATTTATGGTTCAAAATTCTTGTTCAGTTTCATTTTCTCTCATTTTTTTGTTACTCTAGATATTATTTACATCTGTATGCACATGCGCACAAACTCACATATATGTATGTATTGATGCCGAGCAAATCAACCACCCCATATGTAGCACAATGAATGAATTGACTTCCCCTTATTTCAAATAAACACGGGGAAAAAATTGTAATTGGCTCCTGATGTTCTATTGTATTAACCTGTTCCTTTCCATTCAATTTTTATTAAATTCCTGATATAGTTATTTGTTTGGAAGTTAGTTATTCCTTTACTGCGTTCATCTGTTTTAATTTCATGAGTTACCTTCTGTTTTATTTCCTTATTCTTGTCTTTCTATTGTCGAATCCATATTTGGTTGGAGGTTTTATGTGCTAGCTGCATTTGAAGAATACAAGTTTGAAACTGGTTATTTTGCGTGTCAGCACGAGGGGAAGCCTATCAAGCAACTAAAGTTGTTTCTCCACATTTTGGTGGATTCATGGCAGACCTTGCTTTAACTGTGCCTGATGCTCCTCTTGCATTGTCAGAACAACCTTTGGTCATTGGACAAGAGTTTCCTAATGTTGAAACTTGCAGAAGAACATTGAAAGATATTGCTATAGCGCTGCATTTTGATCTTCGGATAGTGAAATCAGATCGAAGCCGCTTTATAGCCAAGTGCTCTAAAGAAGGCTGCCCATGGCGTGTCCATGTTGCAAAATGTCCTGGAGTTCCAACCTTTTCAATTAGAACCTTACATGGAGAGCATACTTGTGAAGGAGTTCAAAACCTTCACCATCAGCAAGCTTCAGTAGGTTGGGTTGCTAGGTCTGTAGAAGCACGCATTCGAGACAATCCACAATACAAACCAAAGGAAATACTGGAAGATATCCGTGACCAGCATGGGGTTGCTGTTTCTTATATGCAAGCCTGGCGTGGGAAGGAGCGCAGCATGGCTGCACTTCATGGAACTTTTGAAGAAGGGTTTCGCCTTCTTCCTGCATATTGTGAGCAGATAAGAAAAACCAACCCAGGAAGCATTGCATCTGTTTTTGCTACCGGACAAGAAAATTGTTTTCAACGACTTTTTATCTCCTACCGGGCATCTATTTATGGCTTTGTAAATGCTTGTAGGCCACTTCTGGAACTTGACAGAGCACATCTTAAAGGAAAATACTTGGGTACAATACTTTGTGCTGCAGCTGTTGATGCTGATGATGCATTATTTCCTTTGGCCATTGCTACTGTTGATGTGGAAACTGATGAAAATTGGATGTGGTTTATGTCAGAGTTGCGGAAGCTTCTTGGAGTAAATACAGAAAACATGCCTAGACTTACCATACTGTCTGAAAGGCATAAGGGCATTGTAGAGGCAGTTGAAACACACTTCCCGAGTGCTTTCCATGGATTTTGTCTGCGTTATGTTAGTGAAAACTTCCGTGACACATTTAAGAACACAAAGTTAGTGAATATTTTCTGGAATGCAGTTTATGCCCTCACAGCAGTTGAATTTGAAAGCAAGATCACTGAGATGGTGGAGATTTCACAAGATGTTATACCTTGGTTTCAACACTTCGCTCCCCAGCTTTGGGCTGTTGCATATTTTGAAGGTACACGATATGGTCATTTTATGCTGGGGGTTACAGAATTATTGTATAATTGGGCTCTTGAATGCCATGAGCTCCCAATTGTTCAAATGATGGAGCATATTCGGCATCAGTTGACATCTTGGTTTAGCAATCGTCGTGACATTGGCATGAGCTGGACCTCAATTCTTGTCCCATCTGCTGAGAAACGGATTTTAGAGGCTATTGCAGATGCACATTGCTATCAAGTGCTTCGTGCAAATGAGGTTGAGTTTGAGATTGTGTCGACTGAGCGAACAAATATTGTGGATATTAGGAGTCATGTCTGCTCATGTCATCGTTGGCAGCTCTATGGTTTACCTTGTGCACATGCTGCTGCAGCACTTATTTCCTGTGGGCAAAATGCTCATTTATTTGCTGAACGTTGCTTCACTGTTGCAAGTTACCGGGAGACATACTCAGAGATGATCAACCCTATTCCTGATAAGAGCCTGTGGAGGGAACTGGGTGAGGGAACAGAAGGTGGAGGTGCCAAGGTTGACATTACAATACGCCCACCCAAAACTCGCCGACCACCTGGCAGGCCAAAAAAGAAGGTTCTTCGTGTAGAAAACTTTAAACGCCCAAAGAGGGTGGTTCAATGTGGTCGCTGTCATTTGTTAGGACATTCTCAAAAGAAATGCACAAAGCCAATTTAACTAGGATGTAGCTTCTTACTGTACCTTTCAGTTAATCTGAAAATTGCAACTTAACTAGGTTTGTAAACATGATGTATGTTTTCATTTAATAGCACAATGGCCTAATCCTTTTTGTAATTCACCTTTGTCTTGTGAATATGGAGTTACCATTTTGTCATTTTCAAGCTTTGTTGCTGAGACAAATTTAGTAATAACAAGCACTTGATCGATTCTGAATGTCCTGCGTCTTATCATTTGAAACTCTACAGCAAAATTTCTGAGCATTACGTCTTGTGTGAAGTGTAAACAACAGGTTTGTAGCAAACTGCAATTCATTCCTTTGATGATATATTTTGTTGCTCATGTTTATTGTTTTTTTTATGACAACATGGATGCTACAAGCACATGGAATATCATAGGATAGATAACAACAATTGCTATCAAAGATGTCCCGAATAGGAACTGATATCAACATGAATTTAGGAATGTGGTCAGTGCCTCGTATTTTAACCAAGATTTGTTACTAGAAAGATTAAAACTTTTTTATACTCTCACATCAAATTTTCAAATTCAACCAAAATCCAGTTCATTTGTAATGATGATGAATCTTGAATATTGTTGTCGATGCAGCAAATATCACATGAAAGAATGCAATCAAACCAAACACAAATTATTTAATTGGATGTGAATTTTTATATGAAAGAACATGAAGTTTTTCTAAAGACTATTAAATATAAATAATATCTATTCACTTTCAAATTAAAAAAATACAGCTAAAATTGATCAACCAAGAAACTAGAAGTCTTAATCGACTAAAAGAGTTAAAAGTTATGAGTTCTATTCTAAATAGAAGTTTATAGTAAATTATGCTAGCAAGTATAACAAATTAGTTAGAAAATGTGTGATTTCTATAAAGATGTGTTGATAGAAATACAGATTGTATTAAGATTCAAGCTCTTAATTTGTCATAAATAATTTGTATATAGGTAGGAATTATTATTCATGTAGGATTATAGAAAAAGACCATCCAGTTACTAAAACCAATAGTCAACCTTATATACACAATTTATTTACATATTTCCATGTAATTGGTCCATTATTTATCTTTTATCACAATTTATTGCTTTTTTTTTTCTTTGATTTTGCTTACATCTTTTATCACAATTTATTGCTTTTTTTTTCTTTGATTTTTCTTTGATTTTGCTTTATTTTTTTCTTGCTTTTTTATTCTTTTATCTAGATTTGTTTTCTTACATTACTCTTCTTCTTAACTTGTTAAAATCAAATTTAAAATTCCACGCTTTATTTGATTTGTGAGGCTGTAATAGGTTTTTAATTATAGATTCTTCTTATTGAAAAGAAGAAATCAAGAATTGATGGAGAATTCAACAATTAATCAATAAATTAATACATGAACAATAATTAGATTATCAATCAATTCAATAAATTGACACTTAAAATGGGATAAACTTATTATTTTAACACATAATAATCATGAAAAAGAATTATGGTAAAAAAATCATTATTATCACCAAATAAAAATCAATAAATGTAAACTACAAATATCAATATCATGGTCACGAACAGTTCGAACAGTTTGATTGCCTCTCAATAATACAAGAACTAACTAGAAAGCCTTAATTGAGTTTGTAGATCTTGAATTTAGATATTATTTAACTTGATAAAATACTATGACATAGGTCTAAAACACCAATGAAAAGTCCAAGATTCAATATTATCGTTTGGAAGTTCAAATCTTAACAAAAAAAAAAATCTGAAACTATCATATATCTTAAATATTGTTACGTATTCAATTTATATCTTGAGTTCTACAAGTCCAAATGAATCACTCTTTTTTTTTTTTTAAATATAAGACAAATACCCACAACTTGTATGAATACCATCTATTTAAATTCTAATGTATCAATAATATTTTGTCCAACACGAAATTAATAGTTAGCCATCACAGCAATAGTTAACCACCAAATTAATAGTTCTAAATTTTAGTTTATAAAAGAAGGTATTTTCATATATTTAGGCATCTTGATTTTTAAATAAAAAATATTTTTTTGTATTTTTATAATGTTCAAGTTTTATTTGATGTTATATTCTTATTAATATCTTGTTTATACTTATCATTTTCTTTATTATATTTAGTTAATTTATATCATAACTTTGTTTTTGTCTTAATTTATATTTTTTTCTTCTTTATGTTGAGTTAAGTTTATTTTTATCAAGGTGAAAGGGTTACACTAATATTATAAAAATAAGTATATCACAAACTCAAACTCAATATGAACTTTAATATTTATATTCAAGAAAGGTACTATTAACATATTTTATAATTGTTATTCTACTCATTCTCGATACCCTTCTTGTTAAGTGATGAGTATAGATTCATAGTATACAATCTTTGACACAAAAAATACTTAATTTTTTCATAGCCTACTTTATGGATAATCAACACCTATGCTATGAAAAAAAACTCAATTTGTTATTGACATAAGTTAGTATCATCAATATTTATAAGTGTTGACATTACTCAAATATGATAATTAATATGATAATGTTAGCAACTTAAAATAAGTCATCAATGATAAATGATCCATTTGGAACCTTATTTATGTATAATTTTCAATTGAGTAATAAAAAGAATTTAAAGTATATTTATTTTAAATACAATTAGTGAATCCTCTAAACTTAATAATTATTTTATCTATGTTTAATCTTTATATTAATATCACTTCTCAAGGTTCTTTCAACTTTGTTTCTTTTATTATTCATGGTTTTATATAATTAACCTTTATATGAATCGATCCTAATTTTGTCAAATTATTTATTACTTAGATAAACTTATACTTGAAAAAAGACATCAATCATTTGATCGTATAACTTGTCTAGGCTTTTGGGCTGTTGGCTTCTTTTTTGTGTTTTTTCTTCTAAATTTATTGAATACCCTTCCTTTTTTATTTGTCAAATATGATAATTAATATGATAATGTTATCAACTTAAAATAAGTCATCAATGACAGATGATCCATTTGGAACCTCATTTATATAATTTTCAATTGAGTAATAAAAAGAATTTAAAGTATATTTATTTTAAATACAATTAGTGAATCCTCTAAACTTAATAATTATTTTATCTATGTTTAATCTTTATATTAATATCACTTCTCAAGGTTCTTTCA